GATTTCATCATAGGGATCCTGCCCTCAAAATAACGTTGAATCAAGTTCGTCTCTTATGAAAACTATTAAGGAATCAAACATTGTAAATAATCTGTTATTTACATTGCCTGCTGTGGGATATCGTGAAGGAACAGACAGAAATATTACATAGGCTATAGACCTAAAGTCAGGCTGTTAACGAGTAAAGTTAGGTCTAGAGTAACTAAGTTATCGAGAAAAACAATCTACCGTAACAAAAGTCTATTTTGTTAATTTATTTATGTAACCAAAATGGTTTTGTTTCATATACACGTTACTTAACCGATGTCAGGATATTATTTCTTCTTTCAATTGGAGTTTGGCGCAACTGCAAAAACGAATGCATGTACAGTACATCTTCTAGTTCTATTGCTAAAATGAGAGGCAGGCATAGTGGATCGATCGAACAAGGACATGTACATGTGAAACGATCAAGGGTGAAAATTAAAAATACCACTGCACAATCGCGACAAAAAAGCCACGAGCGACGGACGACGCACGACAGGCAAGGCACGATGGGCGACGCACGACGGGCGACGCACGACGGCAGATATGGAATTCCATAGTTCATCCAATGACAGCGTATAATTCGTGGTGCGTGCGCGTTTATGACGAAGTCACGAACCGGATAATGCCCACTGATCTCCCTTATAATGCCACACTGCGTGTTCCAGCCGCACGCATCATACGCGCGTGCACGCATTTCGTACATAATCACGGCTGTGATTGGGGCAGGGCTTAGTGGATTAGCTTATTCCATTCTCGCCATGCGTGTATATCAGAATCTAGAGAAGGAACGTACCCACAGCCAAGGCAATTATATATCCCTTGTTATATGTCCTATGGTGTACTATTTACGGCACACATTTCTATCTCTCTTTAGCCTCCCTCCAGGCGACGCAACTACACGACGCGATGGCACGACGGCTCCCTTGGGTCGTGCCGTCGGGTCGCACCGTCGCCTTCTTGTCATTACTTTTGTACGCACACGACGCGTCGTGTCGTGCGTCGTGCTGTCGCCCGTCGCGTCGTGCTGTCTTAGGTCCTTTCCTTGTTGCAATTTTTCTGCCTAAACGTCGCCTCTTCCGTCGCCCGTCGCGTCGTGCTGTCGTGCAACAAGGAAAGGACCTAAGATAGCATGACGCGACGCACGACGCGTCATGTGTGTACAAACAAAATGGCAAGAAGGCGACGGTTCGACCCGACGGCACGACGCAAGGGAGCCGTCGTGCCGTCGCGTCATCTGGTTGCGTCGCCTTGAGGGAGGCAAGAGAGAGGAGAAATGTTTGTCGTAAATAGTACACCATACGAAGCATCCTGTTGTCAATAACTGTCTTCCTGCATGGCGCACTGCATAATTATGTGATTTGCTCAAATCCATTAACAATAGTGCGACTCCAAGACTTTGCAAACAACGCACGAAAGCTGTCGCCCCTTTCAAAATGTGCACTGGGTCGAAAAGATTTTGCGCATCGTAATTGGCCGATGCGTTGCAAACTCTTGGAGGCGAACTATTGTGAATCGCCCGTATTTATTGTCATTGACGTCAGTACTTTCAGAATTGTGAAAAGTGACACAGAATTGCTCAAACTGAAGGCANTTGGAGTTTGGCGCAACTGCAAAAACGAATACATGTACATCTTCTAGTTCTATTGCTAAAATGAGAGGCAGGCATAGTGGATCGATCGAACAAGGACATGTACATGTGAAACGATCAAGGGTCAAAGTTAAAAATACCACTGCACAATCGCGACAAAAAAACACGGGCGACGCACGACGGACGACGCACGACGGGCGACGCACGACGGGCGACGCACGACAGGCGAGGCACGATGGGCGACGCACGACGGGCGACGCACGACGGCAGATATGGAATTCCATAGTTCATCCAATGACAGCGTATAATTCGTGGTGCGTGCGCGTTTATGACGAAGTCACGAACCGGATAATGCCCATTGATCTCCCTTATAATGCCACACTTCGTGTTCCAGCCGCATTTCATACATAATCACGGCTGTGATTGGGGCGGGGCTTAGTGGATTAGCTTATTCCATTCTCGCCATGCGTGTATATCAGAATCTAGAGAAGGAACGTACCCACAGCCAAAGCAAGTATATATCCCTTGCTATATTTCCTATGGTGTACTATTTACGGCACACATTTCTCTCTCTCTTTAGCCTCCCTCCAGGCGACGTAACTACACGACACGATGGCACGACGGCTCCCTTGGGTCGTGCCGTCGGGTCGCACCGTCGCCTTCTTGCCATTACTTTTGTACGCACACGACGCGTCGTGTCGTGCGTCGTGCTGTCGCCCGTCGCGTCGTGCTGTCTTTGGTCCTTTCCTTGTTGCAATTTTCTGTCTAAACGTCGCCTCTTCCGTCGCCCGTCGCGTCGTGCTGACGTGCGTTGCATCGTGCGTCGTGTCGTGCATCGCGTCGCCTGAAGCACGACGCGGCGCACGACACGACGCGACGCGTCGTGTGCTGTCGCCCTTTACTTCATGGTGTTTGTAGAGGGCGCCTTTACTGTTTTCTTTCATCTTTTTGCAAAGTACATGCTATTCGCTCTTTGGTGTTGATTTTTCATTGTTTTTATCTCATCGATTCATTAATTGGGATTAATTTCAGTCATATTTTATTGAAAAGAATGAAAATGAGCAAAAAGAAAATCTGTGTATGTGGGTGCTCTCACATAATAAGTGTAAGCCCAGAATTCGTCACTTTTTAATTTACCCGGCTGATCCTTGTTCGAATGTCCGTCCAATTTCTTTTTAAGACCGTTGATGAAGTTCCCATTTGTGGTAAATTTGTAACCTTATAAATATTTCTCTGTGGTCCGTGCCAGCAGTTTCCAAGTAGTTCTCCCCCTCCTCCAGACAATTTGTCTACAATTGTACGACCGCAAGTTTGACCACGGGTTTCGGTACTTACCATCAAGCCTGCACTATATTATTACCCTCAGAATATTCAGTCTTCCTTCAGTTTAGTCTTCCTCGTTAACTTCATCAGCACCACACTTTCAATGATATTAGTCCGCCGGCGTGTTTCTTAATAAAACACTGAAGATCCTACAACCATTGTGACGGTGTCTCTTCTTCCTCTCTGTTTGGCCTCGCGCTTAATTTCTCATCAGATCTGCATCATGTCTGCATTTTTGCAAGCACGTAATAATGATTGATGTAATGTATCTTAGAATAGATTTACAATAACTATTAGAAAAATCACAATTAGATCAGGAAAAGCTAAAACATTGTTGTGACTGACGTTAATGTTTTATTTTTTTTCTGGAGACAATGCCGATTAGTCGCGAAGGTCTTTCTGATTACATTTGATTTAAAAAAGGGAAAAGAGTTTTCTTCAACAAATCATTCTTAATGAAAACACAAAGTTAGAAAGAAACCACGAAAAAGAGCAACAGAATCGTGGCCTGGTACCTATGGCATGTACTGTGCACGGGCCGGGGGAAGGAAATGAAAGAAAACAGTAAAGGCGCCCTCTATAAACACCATGAAGCAAAGCTCGACAGCACACGTCGCGTCGTGCGTCGTGTCGTGCGTCGCGTCGTGCTTCAGGCGCGTGATGCACGACACGACGTACGACGCGCGGTAAGGGCAAGAAGGCGATGGTGCGACCCGACGGCACGACACAAGGGAGCCGTGAGAAATTCTGTGAGAAAGGTGGAGGAAATTATGGTGTACTATTTACGGCACACATTTCTCTCTCTCTTTAGCCTCCCTCCAGGCGACGTAACTACACGACGCGATGGCACGACGGCTCCCTTGGGTCGTGCCGTCGGGTCGCACCGTCGCCTTCTTGCCATTACGACGCGTCGTGTGCTGTTGCCCTTTACTTCATGGTGTTTATAGAGGGCGCCTTTACTATTTGCTTTCATTTCCTTCCCCGGCCCGTGCTTGCACAGTACATGCCATAGGTATCAGGCCTTGATTCTGTTCTTTTTCGTGGATTCTTTCTAACTTTGTGTTTTCATTAAGAGTGATTTGTTGAAGAAAACTCTTTTCCTTCTCTTTCTCCTGTGTCGTGCGTCGCGTCGTGCTTCAGGCGAAGTGATGCACGACACGACGCGACGGGCGACAACACGACGCGACGGGCGACGGAAGGGGCGACGTTTAGGCAGAAACAAATGCAACAAGGAAAGGACCTAAGACAGCACGACGCGACGGGCGACAGCATGACGCGACGCACGACGCAACGCGTCATGTGTGTACAAACAAAATGGCAAGAAGGCGACGGTTCGACCCGACGGCACGACGCAAGGGAGCCGCCGTGCCGTCGCGTCGTCTGGTTGCGTCGCCTTGAGGGAGGCAAGAGAGAGGAGAAATGTTTGTCGTAAATAGTACACCATACAAAGCATCCTGTTGTCAATAACTGTCTTCCTGCATGGCGCACTGCATAATTATGTGATTTGCTCAAATCCATTTCCAATACGGGCGATTTACAAAAGTGCGACTCCAAGACTTTGCAAACAACGCACGAAAGCTGTCGCCCCTTTCAAAATGCGCACTGGGTCGAAAAGATTTCGCGCATCGTAATTGGCCGATGCGTTGCAAACTCTTGGAGGCGAACTATTGTGAATCGCCCGTATTTATTGTCATTGACGTCAGTACTTTCAGAATTGTGAAAAGTGACACAGAATTGCTCAAACTGAAGGCG